GTCTTCAGTTGTCCCTTCATGGCCTGGTCTTCAGCCTACTCAAAATCCATGTCAAGGGGTGAGGCTTGATATCTCCTGAAGCTTCCTCGAACATTCTACGATGTTTTTTGCTGGTTTCAGCAAATTTATGAGGAGGGTGAATATATAAGATGCTATCAATCAAAACCTTATGAAGAACACCTTAACATGGAGGGAGGAACGGAGGAAGGAGAGCAGAGAGAGATGGAATGAATCTGTAACATGACCACCCTCAATGAATGGGGAAAATCTGTCATCTTTGGGGGGTTATAGTTAGAGGCCACCTCTTGCAGTGTCTGGGGATCAACCTGATTGCTATCTGCCAGCAAACTGGCCACGTTGGGATCAGCGTGCAGAAGGGCAAGCCTACAACATCCCGGCACACGTGAGCACTGTGCATGGTTCGGGGCTCCAGCAAATGAAAGTGGGGTGTAGCTTTACTCCTCTTGTCAAAGGCTGGTGGGTTATAAAAGGGCTTTGTGTAGCATTGAGTTGCCAGATTCACTTTGGGACCAGTACACCTGCAGTCTTATGAGGGTCACCAGAATGACCCAGTGATACCAGGCAGTCTTCTGATAGTTTCAATGAACTTAATTTGATTTTGTTGTAGGGGAAAATTACAGGAGTCTTTTTTATCAGGTAGGTAAGCATGATAATCCTTTCCAAGAGGGCACCCATGCACATCGTGAGCGTGATCGATGGAAGCTTACGGTTTTGTGCAAGAGTCTCAGTGGCAGAAGCATCCTAAGTCCGACTCAGACTAATCTGGGTTAAGCTCCAAATATGACCTATATTAAAAGTGGCAGAATCTGGTGGAGCCTAGTGAGGAATTTCCTCCCACTTGTTCTAAATCCTGGAAACTTTACCATCTAGCCTATCATGAAGGAGAAGTATTTCTGACCATATCTTGGAGAAATCAAATGTGTTTATGTAGGGCTCACAAATAAACAAAGATTTGTGCTCCCTCTGCTGGCTCTCCACAGCAATATTAAAGTAGAAAGGAACCAAAAACAGTGTTGGCATGTTCAGCAAACAGTTGATTTGCGTATACTGAGAACAACTCGTTTAATTTGGTTTGGGACATTCTTTGGGAAAAAAAATCGATCTTTATGAGGGTCTGACCAAGGCACTTGGAAATTCTTAAAATTAGATATTAAATTAGACATACCTGTGGTCCTCCACTACCAAATTGCTAGCTGTGACTGTAGCAGTGATTTGGGGATTCATTTATCAGCAGACACAAGTGGATTCCTCCAAGGTTTTAAGGTCCAGACACAACCTTTAAAGTAGTTCGGGGTGGGGGGAATCTCGAGTTCAAGCTCAAGTTTCTTTTTTTCTCCTCTTGTTTATAAGACCAGCTTCCGAAAAGTAAAGATTTATACTATTTATATCCTTTCCGATAATGTCAAACATTAGACTTGATTTTCCAAATCATTAGCATGCCGAAGAATGACCTCATGGTGAACAGATGCACTTGGCTGTGAGCTGCAGTGATTACATCAGCCCCGCCCAGCAGTCGAGGGCGCCCATTCCAGTTAACCCTTTGAAGGCCTCTCTGTCGGGCCCCCTTCCTTGGAAACATGCATGAAAACACAAGCTGAGTCCCTCACCCCAGCATGCGTGTGTGTTAAATGCATGTATATACATGCATAAACATATACATGTATGTAAACACATACACACACACACACGTGTGTGTGTTAATTGCAGCCAATATTTTCACTACTGGCTACCTTTTAGAAATTGCTGGCCAAAAGGCAAGGAATCAAAAGGAACACAAACTACAGGGCTAAGAAAAAGGCAACTCAAACACCTATTATACACTGGGTATTATTACCAGTACAGGTAGTGGATGGGATAGGTATGAGGTAGGTGGTATTTTAAAATAACATTTTCTGACTGGGAAAAAAAATTTTTTTTTAAATCTCCTTTTAAAAAGCTGAGTACCCACATATGAGCCTAACAATCAAAGATGCTATATCCTCATCGGTGGCTGACAGTGAATCATGAGGAGAAGTTCATGTACGTGGCCGGTGTGCCCCTCTATGGCTTCCTTGGGTGGCAAGCAACAGCACTGGGGCGGGGGGGGGGGGGCGCCTGCGGAGAAGGCATTTTCCAACAGCAGTGTCTTTGGGCACGAGCCCCTCCCACTGAGCACATTTCTTACTTATGCATAGGACTCCGAGGCTGATATTATAGGTCCTCCCTCTAGAAATGGGGGCTGCTTGCTGCTACAAATACAGTGTGGAAGGAATACCGGGTTCAGGTTATTCTCCCTCTGCATTATCGACAAAGCCCCTTGCAGCGAGGATACAAAGAAAACCTGGGAGCCCCTAATTCCTCGGATTGTGCATATGCATGTGAGCAGGAGCCCAAGGCCCCGCTTTGATGGCACTGCTGGCCGAGATGGTCTGATTGGGTCCTAAGTGCACTGTGGGGGCTTAAGCCGCTCAGGGTCAATTTTTCCAGTTGGCTTGCTGCTTGGAAGAGCAGAGTCCACCTCTGTTTCTTAGTTTAAGCTAGCTGGCTCATCTGGGTTTGACTGTGCTTGTCCCAAGAAAATAGGACTAACACTGAAGAAATGAAAAAACGTTTTCCTTTGCAAAGGTGGTAACAGGCCGGGATAGGGATTCCTTAAAAGCAAAACTGGCAGAGAAGGGAGGGGAGGATGTACTTCTGAAAATGTGCCCACTTATGGTCTGGAAATGCTCTGCCCTCACTCCACGGCTCCCCAATTTCAGTCCACATCAAGTTCCTTTCTAGTTCCTTCCTAATCTTTGTTGTGGGCACATATGCAAAGTGGTGATAGAGAACACGATGCTCAGACTTAAAATCGCATTCATGCACTGGCGTGATACGTGTACCAAAAATTTTATCACTTGACACTGAATGCCCTAAACCCTGAACATTGTGAAATGTCATCCGGATAAGAATTTGGAAAGAGGAAGACCAGCATTTGTCTTGATACCTCATCTTCGGTTTCACATTCCCTTTGTATCGGTTCCAGTGCCCCCTCATGAGCTATCAGACCCTTATCTGCTAAGTGACTTCGGCAGATGTGATGCTCTTGAAGAAGCCTGTTGGTCACTGCCTCCAAATAGGAGGTCTTGGAAAACCCAAATCACTTTTGGAGATTCACTTAAGATGTTACCAACACACTAGCTCATTTGAGTTGATTTAAGTAATTGTGAACTTGTGGGAAAGATCAAATTAATTTATACAGATGCTAAAGTATGCACAGGAAACAAAGTTTATCAATATTTGTTTCAGGAACATCTTAATCTGGAGCCTTAAGAATGTGACAGCTAAGGAATGTCAATATCTAGTTATTATTTAATTTCTTCTAATTTTAAGAAACAAAAAGCTTTCTCATGAGTTAAAAAAAAAAACAAAAACAAACACAAAACCCCCGCACAGAAAAATTAAGCCCCAGTACCTCATGAGGATGAGAAAGAGCTGAATGAGATCTTTAAAAAAATTAGCTTTGCTACGGATCCTTCATGTTCTTTCACCTACACACTAGAAATGATTTTAGACCTCTAGCCAGAGTGGTGTGAAATCTTCATTTCCCTTGAAACCGATTTTTTTTTTTTTTTTTTGGTTTTAGATAGAATGTTGGCAGAGTGTATAAAAGAATTCAATTCACAGCTGTTCTACTTTTTTTTTTTAATGTAAGAAACATTAATCAAAGCTTTAAGTTATAAGCTTTCTCATGTTGTTAGTATTCCAGTTCAACAAAGATCAATAGAGGCCATCCCCGTGTTTCTTGACGCCTCCCCAGGAAGCAGAGGCGTGATTATGTAAATCACACAGCTCCCGCACCCCGGCCAGCTTGCTTATCTCTCAGGCCTTCTGCCTGCAGCTCCTGGCTCCCTGAGCAAGTACAAGCCTCGCCCTCTTATCTCCCAACAAAGCTCGGAGAGGCAAGGATCGAAGCCAGCGATGTTAAACAATGATGCATGGCTGATTGTATTTGTGAGTGATTCATTTCACTGAATTTAATTTTTTTCACTTTGTGTGTAAGATATTTGTTAACAAGTCAGAATCGGAGAAGTAAGGCGGTGTTCAGAGACAACTGACACAGGTTAGAAATCTATTAAGCATGCTAACCAGTTGTGTCTACACCGGTGGAAGAAGAGGGAAGCCCCTCATTGAGAATTTCAACATGCATTGACTAAACATCCCATTTACTCTCTGAAAGGCAATTAATCTGTAATTACATGCAGAAATTCACAAGTAATTCTATTCTTTGGGAAAAAAAAAACCCCACAGTAATCATATAATCAGTTTAAGTGGTAGTACCCATTTTTTTTTTTCAAATTGGAAATATAAAAAGAGTAAAACCTAAAAACAAGGACATTCATGGAAATTTCTGAAATTTTCCATTGGCGTAGTAAGTGAAAATGATTGAAAGCCAGTTGCTAAACAGGTTCCACGCCAGGTGCTGCTCTGGTCGGCAGCTTGTCCATGTGACACAGACCACTCCAGAAAGAAAGCGTGCCCGCCGCTCTGCTGTAATGACGGACCAGGGGACACTGTCCTTCCATTTCTCCTGCATTAATCCCTGACCCGAGTATCTCAGCAGCATAATCCCCATTTAGCATTAGTAGCAACGGCTTCAACTGTGAGGAAGACTTTTTTGATAAGTAAGCACTGATTCGGGCATTGCTTTTAAGCAACATATTCCCAGCTCAGCAAGAAACCCACACTCCTGAATGAACCGGAGCACATTACTGAGAAAAAGTTCATTAACCTTGCTAGTTTCGGGGGTTAACAGGATAGCTGAAGAAAAGCACTGAGTGAACAGCTCGGATACAAAACAAATTAAAATGAATGTCATCATTCCTTTTGATATTCATTAGTTGATTCAGAGGGAGAATGCTCTTCTTAAATTTGCAAGCATTTATCTGTGAAAAACAGGTGTACATCTGCTGCTCGAGTGCGTCCTAAGCGCGGGAGGGCAGAATAATGCAGACACTCACCCGTTCCGCCGAGGGAGGGGCTGGGCGAGGGAGAAAAGACTTGGGCGGCGAAATCCTCAAACGTCATGACTTCTCGGTGGTTCTGAATTATTGCTTCGAGGTACAGAGCTCGCTCTTCGTAGCTGCGGTCACCGGTCAAGGAAGCAAGTGCACGTGTGGAATGACATGCATAACAATGACACAGTTCACTGTGGTTTGAATACAGTTATGCAACTTTTACGTGTGTTGGTGGGGGGGGGAAGGTACCTTACAAGTCCGTTACCCATCCTCTCAGGGAATTAAATATGAGTTATAATTAACGGTAAGATTCTGATATTGAGACCTAAGTTTCTCTTAGACTTCGGTTACATCCAACACCAGTATTCCTGAAAAATATGTACATCAATGGTTACAGAATCACAGCAAAAGATCCTTAAGCTTGATCCAAACAAACGAAAACAGAGGCACTGGTTGTGGTGGCATCTCCACTGTGGGACAGTGTCGGACCTTCCCTTCCCAGGTCAGCAGATAGAACGTTCTTCTCAGTCTCCTAGAGAATGAATTGACACTTGGAGCAGGAATTGGTGGTACACTTAAAAAAAAAAAGTGAGACAATGCACGTCCCAGGGAAGAGGGAAGGACAGGAAGATATGCTCTGAAGGGGCCCCGGTGCCTCCAGCCAGGATAGGCGAGAGCATGAGAACATAGGAGCTAATAAGTGAGAGACTCTAGCAGAGAATGCACAATGCAATTTAAAAAAGAAAAGACTATTGCCTTTTAATTAAAACTGCAGTCTGGAACACACACATTCAAATGTGTAATCAAAAACCAGTCACCAATAAAACTTACAAGCGTAACACGCTAAAGCAACTTTCCAGCTGTCTTAATAGGACCCCTGCGTGTGGCAGCCTTTCACAGGGCAGAAAGCAAATCTTCCCCTTTTGTGTATGGCTTCTGTTTCCTCAGAAGGTGAATCATGCACTTCCAATAACAGGATAACATCAGAACAATTCGACAGCGGATGGAGGCCCTGCACGTATGACTTTATGAATTAACACTTGGGGAAGTCGGCATGACGTCCCATTTTCCCCTTCCTAGTTATCAATGCCAAAGTTAAAAGACGTGTTTTAGTCATTTTGACAATCATGCTAATTCTCCAGGAACACAGGGAACGCAGATCACCATCAATCAGTTTATTATTTGCTGCTCTGGAAGAGCAAAAGTAATTTCTAGCATTTCTCACTGGATTTTAAAACTATCTTTCCAAAATGACCTCTTCACAAATAAAAGTTGGTAAAAACTATGCTTTTCCAATTAGCTGTTGGTAGTAAGCATGTGACTGAAGATCGGAAAATATTTTTCTCTTTTCTTTTGTCAAAGGATGCACACAGATTTCCCCATGCAAGCCCTTCCTCTTCCTCCTCCTTTAATTATAGTCAGAGAAGGAGTTTTTACACCATGAGACCAGAGGCATCCTGGGGCTGTGCTGGCCAACGCCGTAGCCGTGAGCCGCATGTGGTTATCTAAATTTAAATTTAAATTAATTAAGCCGAAAAAATAGCAATTCCGTTCCTGGGTCCCACTAGCTGTATTTCAAGCATGAGCTGGGGTTACTGTGCTGGATAGCATGGACGGAGAGCACACCCTTTGTCGTGGAAAGAGCTACTAGGCAGCTGGCTTCCCAAACTTCTCTTTAGGCTTGCTCTAGGCAACTTTAAAAAAGCAAAACGCCTTTGAGGATGTCAAAAGCGGCCCCGCTGATGGATTCACAGTGCATCATGTTACATAGACGGTCACCACAGCCGAAGGCCTGGGCGGTGGGGGCCTGAACTGGCTTCTCGAATGCAGGCTGAACTCCTGGTGACTCACCCCGATGAACAAACAGGCTGCCAAACTTCCACAGTGAGAGGCGTCCTCTCAGGCCCAATTCTAGAGGGACCCACTAATGCCATTCACGTCTCATTATGAACACGCTTATTCTGCACAGCACTTGGCTGTCGCGCGGCTCGGCCCTCCGTGCACAGCCCCAGCAAGCCGCTGGTCCAGGGAACAGCAGGATGTTAGGCCTGAGTGGCCGTCTGGCGAACAGGCACTCTGACACTAAGCTGGCACGTGCTGGCCCAGCAGGGGCCGAGCGAGGCGTGACAAATTACTCAAAGAGCTGAGCTAAACTTATGGCTGACAACCACCTGAGCCTTAGGACAGCCGTGGCCCGCTGTCAACGCACAATTCATAGCTCCCCCTTTCAGACCGCAGTCTGCTTGAGGGCCCGGGTTAGAGCCGGCGCGGCCCTCTAAAGACCTGTCATGCTCTGCCTAGAATGGTCCTGCTGTTTGCTGAAAGGCCCCACTGCGCCCAACACATCCACATACAGTGCTCGGGACAATGGTGAACAAAATAGAAGTGCGGATGCATTTTGCTAAATGTGCTCTGGAAGCCACATATCTGGAAGAGTGGCTGCTATGTTAATCGAGCTCACAGGCAACCCTACAAAGAGATGCCATGTATAATACCACGTAAACGGACCTCAGACAGCAGCCCATCATCCTCATCTGGGAGGACACTAGCCAATTCGTAAGCTTGTCCTTGTCAAGCCTGAGAAATCTGGGCCCCTAAGAGCAAGTCCAGCACTAGAGTTACAGGGGGGTGATAATCAAGTTTTGAGATTCTCTGGCTCAATGAATATTTATGGTCTGACTCCTAAAACAAGGCACTACGGGAGACAGCACAAAAAGATGCTTCCAGAACCAGATACTAGAGGAGGAAGGGTTTACCTCATAGAAGATTCCCAATCTCGCATTCACGCCCCCAACTGTCACACGTAGCACACTCTCCCCCACCCCCAGGCTGGTCCTATGCTGTCACGGGAGCGTTAACAGTGCTAAACTGGGTGTTGTCATTTAGACAAACATCCATTAGGGACTGCGGGGAGACCAGGAGATCACCAAATGCATTTTCACTCGCGACCCACGCCAGGGCATGTAAACACCATGACAAAAAGAAAACAAACACCACCCCGATCCTGGCAGTGTTTAGAAACAGAGAAGGAGCTCAGGGTGCCAAAAATCATTTCTTTTAGTAGCTTTAAAACACGTAGCTCTGGGATTTAACGGAATGTATTAGAACTACTAGCTAGGGTAATTAGGAGTGGTATCACCTGACATTTTCTTACCTAACTTCTTTAGGGCTTCAGTGCTGATTGTTTTATATATTAAAAAAGGGCATTTATAACTTAGACATTAAAATGCTTCTAAGGTTCTTCTCATGCATAAGACATGTTAAGACATGAACCGAATGCTGTAATAATGCCAGGCAGTGGATGGTCAGTGCCTCTGGCTGAAGGCAGGTGGCTGAAGAGGCACCTGGTCACAAATTCAATACCTGTTTTGATACTGGCCATTGCCCTGCTGTTCTCTTAAAAAGTCCATTAACAAATGTAAAACTTAAATTTTGTTCGGAATTACTATCTCATTCAAAACCACACACAGTAAAGTACTTTCTTAAAGAGAAAATTTTCCCTTTGATTACTCAATTCAGAGAGCATTCAAATTACTACTAGAAACCCTTCTTGGTTTCTAGATATTTTGAGCTTCTTCAGTGACCTGCTGTGTTTATGTTTTCACATAAGAATTTTAGCATTTACCAATGTTTCTCTACTTGAATAAAGAGGCTATATATCTTTGCTACTTACATTTTATCAAAAACTTCCAAGAGAATTTCCTGAGACCCTCAAGACACATTCAGGGGGTTGCAAAAGCCCAAGAATCCAAATCCAACTCCCCAACTTTATTCTGATGACTATTTGTTTTTGTTTTTCGAAACGGTAGCAGCAGCATGAGAGGAAGTAGCTTGCCTTTTGGAGAAGACAGGCCTAGGTTTGAATTCCACTCCTCTCCCCCACCCGCCAGGGCAAGCTGCTCCAAAGCCCTGGGTGCCTTATGTGTAAAGCAGGGTCACTGAGATCTGCTCTTGGGGCTGCCCCGAGGATCAGATGGAATCATATAATGACCCAGGTTCTAGTGCACAAGAGAAGCACCATAGATGTGGACTGCCTGCTCCCCTTCCTCCCTTAATGTGGGTTTCTGGGTTCGTCTTCCAGAAAGAACATAGTGGATAAAGTAGGGGGAACCTCTGTGTCAGGACAAGCAAGCCTCCTTTACGCTAGACCCCTGTGAGTAGGGGGAGTGCCATGGCCCCTACAGTACTGATCAGCAAGTGGAAGTGCGAAAGATTCAAGTGATTTTCCAGAGTCACAGTTACTTGGTGGTGCAATTGGGACCAGAACCCAGGTCTTCCAACCTTTACTGCTTCCGGCTAATTTATCTAGATTTCTAGGGCACATGGGATTAAGTTCAGGATTTCGTGCAAGGTTGGGAGCTAAACTAGTGGTGAGGATAAATCAACCGACTTAACTATACAGGGGTATGAAAATCAACTTGAGTCCATAGGTTTGAGCTGCATTGACACCCATAGACCATGCTGACTTTATAAATTCAGAAAAATAACAATTACTTCATTTCAATTTCTTTCTACTTATTCGGGCTATGGTGTTTGTTGACTGCTATTTAGGACTTTCAACTTCTTCTCTTGGAATAACTCCTTCTGTTTGTTTGTTTGTTTTTAAGGAAAAAGGAGAACTGTTTGCAAGAGTCTCTATCAGGTTGTATCTTTCTTCAGCCCTTGAAACTCTTCTTGCCGGGGCCTTTTCTAAGTTTCCAAGGAGTGGGCAACCAGACCCAGCCCAACAAAGCAGCCTTGGAGGAGGCTGCCTCCTGAGGTCAGTATGTGTGTGTTCTGCAGTGGTTTCCGTACCTGTCCCTGGTTTTCTTTCGTAACTCACTGCAGCCCCTCATTGCTGACAGAAGCCCGCCCAGAGCTGGTGGCTCTTGTGACTCTGCACACTCTCCTTCCCACGGCAGTGGGAGAGAAGCCAAGTTTCGTCACCGCCTGGGAGGGAGGCCTTGGCCAACCCCGGGCCCCTCGGATAAATTGTGGCACTCATAAATTTTGCCACCATTGCTTGTTTGATCCCTTGAGGATGTGACGGGGGAGAAAAGAGAACCCCCTGCTATAGTTACTGCATAGGACCGTCTCATCCTAAGCATCCTTGTATTAGCTTCCCGTGGCTGCCGAAAGTGACCAC